ATCAGTTGGGGAATGACTTTTATTTTTTATAAATTTGGCTTAGTTCCCTATATAGTTGAGAAATAAAGCTTGTTCCCTGTATAGTTGAGAAATAAAGCCTTTATCAGATATACTTGTTACAAATCCCTTCATACTTTTATGCTTTCCTTATAATTTTGGTTGCATTTGTTTTGTTTATGAATTTTTATATAATTAAAATTATCTTTTTAACATTTTGTAATTTCCTGTATATCTTCTTTCATCCTAAATTCTTCCTTACCCATAAATCTGACAGATAAACTTTTCCATGTACTTTTAATTTGCTTACGGTATCACCCTTTGTGCGTAAATCATGTATTGATGTGAGAAGTTTGTCTACACCTAGTTTTAGCCATACTGTTTTCCAGTTTTCCAATTTTTGTCAAATAATGAGTTTTTGTTCCAAAAGCTTGGATTTGGATGTATCATATACTAGATTACAATGGTCATTTCATATAATGTAATTAATACCTAATTTATTCCACTGATCCAACACTCTATTTCTTAGCCAGTACCATATTGTTTTGATAATTACCACTTTATAGTACAGTTTGAGATCTGGTATGCCTAGACCACCTTCTTTCCAATTAAAAAAAATTGATTATCTTGATATCCTTGAGCTTTTGTTCTTCCAGATGAATTTTATTATTTCTTTATCTCTGCAAAATATTTGTGACAATATGATTGCTATGGCACTAAATAAATAGATTAATTTAGGTAGAACTATCATTTTTATTATATTGGCTTAGCCTAGCCATGAACAATTAATATTTTCCAGTTGTTTAGATCTGACTTCATTTGTGTGGAAAAAGTGTTTTATAGTTGTGTTCATATAGTTCCTGGGTTTGCCTTGACAGGTGGACTCCCAGGATTTTTTTTATTGCTACAGTCATTTTAAAGGGAATTTCTCTTTCTGTCTCTTGCTACTGGCCTTTGTTGGTAATATATAGAAACGCTGAAGGATTATGAAGGTTTATTTTGTTAACTTTGCAACTTTGTTAAAGTTAATAATTTTAAGTAGATTTTTAGTGGCTCTCTACTATTTTCTAAGTATAACATCATATCATCTTGCAACGAGTGACAGTTTTGTTTCTGTACTACCTATTCTAATTCCTTCCATTTATTTTTCTTCTCTTATTGCTATAACTAACATTTCTAGTACAATATTAAATAATAGAGGTGATAGTGGGCATCCTTGCTTCACCACTGATTGTATTAGAAAGGCTTTTAGCTTATCCCAATTGCAAATAATGCTTACTCATGATTTTAGATAAATATTCTTTGCTGTTTTAAGTAAGCTTCATTTACTCTTATGCTTTTTAGTATTTTTAATAGGAATGGGTGCTGTATTTCGACCAAGGCTTTTCCTGCATCTATTGAGATAATATGATTTCCATTTGTTGTGTTATCAATATGGTCAATTATGCTAATAGTTTTTCTAATATTGAACCAATTCTGCATTCCTGGTATAAATCCTACCTGGTCATAACATAAAATCCTTTGTAATTTATCTGTAATCTCTTTGCTAGCATTTTATTTAAAAGTTTTTGCATCAAAATTCCTTAGGGAAACTGGTCTATAATTTTCTTTCTCTATTTTGACTCTTCTTAGTTTGGGTATCGGCACCATATCTGTGTCATAAAAAGAATTTGGTAGGACTCCTTCTTTGCCTATTTTTCAAAATAGTTTATATCATTTTGGGATTAATTGTTCTTTAAATGTTTGGTAGAATTCTATTGTGAATCCATCTGGTCCTGCGGATGTTTTCTTAGAAAGTTCATTGATGTCTTATTCAATTTCTTCTTCTAGGACTTGGTTATTTATGTATTTCATTTCTTCTTCTGTTAATCTGGGTAATTTATATTTTTGTGTGTATATATACATCCATTTCATTTAGATTGTAAGATTTATTTCTATGTAATTGGGCATAATATCTCCTAATAATTGTCTTAATTTCCTTTTCATTGGTGGTGAATTCATCCCTTTAATTCTTGATTGTAGTACTTTGATTTTCTTCTTTTCTTTTTTAAATCAAATTAATCTACGGTTTATATATTTTATTAGGGTTTTTTTTCTCATAAAACCAGCTTCTAGTTTTACTTATTAGTTCCATGGTTTTCTTTCAATTTTATTAATCTCTCCTTTGATTTTGAGGATTTCCAATTCGGCATTTAATTTCAGATTTTTAATTTTTTCTAGTTCTTTTTTTAGTTGCACGCTCAATTCATTGATCTGTTTTTTCTTTGTTTTATTGATTAGATAATTTGAGATATAAATTTCCCCCTAAGTACTGCTTTGGCTACACTCCATAAATTTTGGTACAATGTCTCACTGCTGTTATTTTCTTTAATGAAATTATTGATTGTTTCTATGATTTGTTCATTCACCCATTTCCTTTTTTAAGCATTCAATTATTTAATTTCCAATTAATTTTTAATCTCACTTTCCATTGTCTATTATTAAATGTACTTTTTATTGCATTATGATCTGAAAAAATATGATCACTATTTCTGCATTTCTTCATTCGATTGTGAGGTTTTTAATGTCCTAATACATGGTCAATTTTTGTGTAGGTGCTATGTACTGCTGAGAAAAAAGGTATATTCCTTTCTATCCTCATTCAATTTTCTTTAGAAATCTATCCTATCTAATGTTTCTGATTTTTTTTTGTCTCCTCCTTAACTTCTTTCTTGTTTATTTTGGGGTTAGATTTATCTAATTGTTAGACGGGAAGGTTGAGGTCCCTTACTAGTATGGTTTTATTAGCTATTTCCCCTTGTAAGTCATTCAACTTTTCCTTCAAAAATTTAGATACTATACTATTTGGTGTGTAATTGTATATATTTAGTATTGATATGAATTCATTGTCTATGGTACCTTTCAGTATAATATAGTTTCCTTCTTTATCTCTTTTAATTAGATCTATATTTGCTTTTGCTTTGTCTGAAATCATGATTGCTTTCCCCGCTTTCTTTGCTTCAGCTGAAGCATAATAGATTTCTGCTCCAACCCCTTACCTTTACTCTGTATCTCTCTACTTCAAATACAACATAATGTAGGATTCTGTTTTTTGTTTTATTCCATTCTGCTATCCACTTCCATTTTATGGGTGAGTTCACTCCATTCATATTTATGATAACTAACATGATAATTATAACTAATTGTGTATTTCCCTCCATGCTATTTTTCACTTGTTTATCTTCCCAATCTTACTCCCCCACCCTTTTCTTCATTCAGTAATACTCTCATTCAATAGTCAACTCCTTCAGGAAACCTTCCCTGATTATGTGCTCAGAAAATATCAGAAACAATATTTTTTTCACTCATGTACTTATTAATTATTTCTTCCTGACTGATAATTTCCACTATTCTATGTTTATTCAATATTTAAGTGCAATAATTTATATGTGTTTGTGTGGTTTTAAACATAGTAGGTAGGATGTTGACCTGGAAGTCAGGAAAACTTTGGTTCAAATCCTGTATCTGACACAAGCTATGTGAGTGACTGTGAGCAAGACACCTAATCTCTCCTTCTCCCTAGGTAACTCTCTAACAGTGTTAAGTTGCAGAGTAGGTACAAATCTACTGCTGATAGAAGAAATTTCCTCTCTGGGGGTTTCAAATACCTATGAAATCAAAGGGCTGATTTTTTTTTCAAAAAAATATTTATAAATGGTCATTGTCTTTTGTATGGGAATCTTGCCCTTACTACCAGACCAAGGGCCATTTCTCTTTTATTACTCTAGAGATTCTCTAAAGTAGGGGGACATGTCTCTTCCACCAGAATAGAGAACTGTGCCTTTTTCTCCCCTTTTCTTTCCCTTTCCTCTCCCCTCCCCTCTCCTCTTCTTGTTTCCCCTCTCCCTGCTTCCCTCTTCTCCCCTGTCCCTCTCCTTTCCCATCCCCATTCTTCCCTCCATCCTTTTTCCTTCCTTCCTTCCATTCCCGGTCCAGACAATGAAGTAGTGGAGACAGCCAAGTAGGCCACAGAGCTTGCTGAGGCTTACACCACTGGTGCTGTGCCAGGACATGTTCTCCAAAATGGCCACATACCTGAGAGGTAAGCTGACAACCACCAGTTAAGAACATATGGACAAACTGACTAACTTGAAATATGTAGAAATGAAAGTTATTGCAGTAAACACAAGTAGAAATCTAAAGTACTTAAATCAGAAATATGTAGCACTTCAGCCTTATCTATATCAAATCACTTTAATGGAGGAGCAACTAGCAGCTCTTGAGCAGGCGGCCTACAAGCTGGAGCATATTCAAAGAAACTAGAAGCAAAGTATAAGAAGTTAAAAAGACAATGAAAGAATTCTTTAGCACAAAGACTTTAAAGAATGTTTCATAAGAGCTGAAATGTGTGAGATGGAACTTATCTAACTTCTATGAATCTCAGCCCCTACCTTTGGTTGGATGTGTAACGTTGACCACCCCGTGATGTTTTCCTAAAACTGTACCCCCTGGAACTTCACGTTATCGTGTGCTTCATTGTGTGTCTTTGACCAAGTCTCAGGAATCAGAATCAACCCTGTCTAGAGCAGACACAGATGAGAGGCTCTGGTCTCCCTGTCTCCTCTTTCCTCCCTCACACCTAGGGTTCCACTTTTGACTCTTTGTTCTCAATGTGCCCCCTACCCTCTCCATAGCCTGTTCTTGAATTTTAATAAATGCTGATTTATGAAAAAAAAGAATAGGGAGCTGTATCCCTCAAATAAGCTCAGGAATTCTTCACGAAAGAAGGTCAGGTAATTTATATCAAACCAGGGAATTATGTCTCCTAAATCAGATGAACATCTGCAGAAATGGGATCATGTCACCCCCACAAATAAGAGATTTCCAGAAGACAGGGTTTATATCTTTTCCATCAGATAAGGAAACGGTAGTGATTATCTCTACCTTGCAAAAGGAGATATTTCCTTCTGCATTGTGTAGCACCATTGTCCCTTCCTAGCCCAATATCCTAGGGCTCAGTGTTCTTACCCAACCCTCATTCTGGCTCCATGAGACTGGAAAAAGTGGAAAATCTTCTGACGTATCTGCTTGGTCTTGATAGTATAGACAATGGGATTGAGCATAGGTGGCATGAGAAAATGCAGGTAGGAGAGGAGTACCCGGATAAAAGGTGAAGCCTGCTTCCCAAAACGGTGGATCATGGACAGGCCTATCATGGGTGTATAGAAGAGCAGCACTGCACAGATATGTGAGACACACGTATTAAGGGCCTTAAGTCTCTCCGCCTTGGAAGCAATGGTAAGGACAGCATGGAGGATCAGCACATAGGAAGCCACAATAAACATAGAGTCCATGCCAAGAGTAAAGAGTACCACAAAGAGCCCATAAGCACTGTTGACATGAGTATCTACACAAGCAAGTTTCATGACATCTGGATGCAGGCAATAGGAATGGGAGAGTTGACCAATATGACAGTAGGGAAGTTTTTTCAGCATGATGGGGGCAGGGAGGTGTAGTCCAACACTACGGACTACAATTGCAAAGCCCAGGCCAGCAACTCGGGGGCTGGGCAGGATGGTTGTATAGCGCAATGGATTACAAATGGCCACAAAGCGGTCAAAAGCCATGGAGAGAAGCACAGAGGATTCCATGACAGAAAAAGTGTGGATGAAAAAGAGCTGGGCTAAGCATGCATTCATCTTCACCTCCTGTTGGCCCAGCAGGTAGGTGGTTAGCATGGTGGGCAGTGTGGAAAAAGAAAGCCCCAGGTCAGTCATAGCCAACATGGACAGGAAGTAGTACATTGGCTGGTGAAGAACTGTTTCTGACTTTACCACCCACAGAATCAAGCTGTTTCCAGCCACGGCCACCATATACATGGCACACAATGGGATAGAGAGCCAGATGTACATTTTCTCTAGGCCTGGGAGGCCCATGAGAAGAAATGTAGTAGTGCTGTGATTTAAGGCCTGCATGGTACCCTGGAGGGTGGAGCAGTTCCCTGGGGAAATTGGGAGTTTATTGAGTCATCAATGGTTCTGGAATCAAAAGAGGCAACCAGTTAGGAAATTGTTATCTTAATTTTTTTCTCAAACCATAAGGGCACTGATGTTCTACTGAGTAATATATCTGAACAAGTGGTCTCCATATTTCAGGGAACAGGCGGCTTTACCATTAAGGCAAGACTCAAGAAGAGGGTCAGAGAGGCTTAGTTCAGAATGAGTAAAGGTTCTATAAGGAGGCCTATGTCCTTGAACTCAAGAAAAAGGAAGCCTTGAAGAGGTAATAGGCAAAGACTTTTAAACAGCATGCTTCATTGAACGATAAGATGCTAAATCTGGGAATTCCTGAGTAATCACTCAGTTTTACTTCCTCAATTTACAGAAGAAGAAACTGAAGCTCAGATAGCAGATATTACTTGCTCAGTCTTCCAGTATCCTCGAGAATATGTCTCAGTCTTAGTTAGTTTTCTAATCATCATCTTCCTTTACAAACTATCTCCTCTTAATTTTTGTAGCCCATTGCTTCCCAACAAGAGTTCTCTTCTCCTTGGCCCTTGGCAGGACAGAACATAGTCTCCTGGCTTCTCCCCTTTCCTTCCTCTCACTGAGACACATGCAGCACCTGTGAGGTTTTCTAGGATTCTTTTACTAGATTCTTTTACTAGCTCAATGGAGCAACAAATGGGAATAAAAAAGAATAAACATAGCAAAAGGTACAAAGTCTCACATAAAACATGAATTCTTCTGTCTCAAAGGCAGACCTCAAAGGGTACACCTATGGTCTGTTATTTTGGAATGTCAATAGAGTTCATCCCTGTCCTCTCTTCACTTGTCTTGCTTTATTATTACTTACACGTTTCTGTTTTGAGGAGATTATTGGCTCACCCTACTTACGAGGCTGGATACTCCTGATTTTATTTTCAAGACTGGTGCTCTTGGGTTCCATCTTCTGCTGACAAGGAGGTTGCCATCCTGGACTCTTCACATATAATAAAGGCCTAAAGAAGGAAATAAAGGTACACATAGGTACTAATTGTTGTCATTGATGACATAAGGGACTCAGTTTTAGGGTGAGCTGTTATAAGCTCAGTTTTAGACATAGGACATTTAAGGTTGTGAGAATTCATGGAATAATAGATTTAAAGCTGTAAGGGATCTCAAATGTCATCTTGCTCAACTCTCTCAATTTGCAGTTGAGTAAACTGAGGCCCAGAGAGGTTAAATATCTTAGAGTTGGTTGAATGTTGGTTAAATGTAAGTAGCATAAATATGAAACAAAATCCTTTCACTGTAAATCCAGAGCTCTTTCCATCATACCACTATGCTGCTATGTAATATTGAAAGTATTATAGGAATATCATTTATTGACATGACTGTCATTATCACCTTATATGTCCTAATGGAATTAAACATGTAGCCTGAAGCTCAGAGGAGACGTTAGAGCTAGTTAAACCGATTTTTTTTTGGGGGGTCATACATATAGATATAATAATTGAATCTGCAAAGATAAATAAGATGACACAGACATTGACAGTATAGGGAGAGAAGAGCAATGAGCCAAGCACAAACCTTCAGGGAACATCTGTATTAATAGGCTTGGAAGAAGGCATGAAGTTAGTAAAGTGAAAAGAGAAAGAGTGGCTAGAAGTATGAGAGAAATGCCAGATGCATGAGATGCCGTTAGAGCACATGGAGGAAAGAGTAATACAGAGGGATGAAGAACAGCATCGTATAATGAAGAGAAGGACTAGCAAAAAGTTCATTAAGCTTTATAAGGAGAAATTCATCGGCAGCCTTTGAAAGAATAGGTTCAGCAGAGTTGTAAGTGGGGAATGGGAAGAGGCAAAACCAAGTTTAATATGAGAAAACAAGGGCATTGTGTGCTTGCAACTTTTCAAGGAGTGTAATAGTGAAGGCGAAAGGACAAGTATGACAGGAGCTAGGTGAAATAGAAGTATTATGGGATGGCTTTGTTTTTTATGATGGAGATATTTGGCTGTGTATATAGGGGATGAGAAGGCACTAGTGTAAAGGGAAAAAATAAAGGATGCTTGAGAGAGAACGATTAGTGGAGAAAGGGCATGGCAAAGGTTGGAGGAAATCAATAAATATTTATTAAGCACCTATCAAGTGCTAAGCACCATGCTAGACACTGGGGAAACTAAGAAAAAATAAAGCTAATAATATTCTTAATGGTAATCAGAACAAAGGCATAATAAATTGAAGTGTTAGCCATAGTGAGGAGAAGGAATGCCTCTTCTATGGCCATAGGAAAAATGCAGAAAATGGATGATAATAGGAAAAGTTTTCAAAAGGAGAGAATGTTGGTTGAAGGTACTATCACCCCATGGCCCCTATTTCTCAGAACACTTAAATGAAAACATTTGTAGTGCAAATTTGAATTGGTTATGGGGTCACATTGGAAATGGGTAGGAGGGAGAAGACAGACTCAGGAGATAGAAATGTAGATGCAGAGTGAGGAAAAGGGATAAAAGCAGGGAAAGGTCAGTCATGGAGAAAAGGAAAATGAGAGCAGAAGAAAATACCATAGGAAAAAAAATTAAAAAAAAAAGAAAATACCATAGAAGAAAAGGGTGGCTCTCTTACTCCTCTGAGCCTCAATTTCCTTTTTCCCTCGGTAAAATGAGCATAATAATGCTTCCTGACATATTTAAGAGTAAGGTCATTTAAAAATCTGAAGCAATATAAATGTGTAATCATCAGTATTCAAGGAAGGGGAGGAGACATAGGATAATAAGAATGGAATGAGTTCAGAGGAGAGCAGTTATAAAGAGAGGAAACAATGTGGAGGACTGAAGGAGAAGTTAGACATTTTGGAATATTGGGGAGCTGTCCATGGAGGAATCTAGTCATGCCTAGATAACCACCAAGAAAGGAGATGATATACTCAGGGAGTTGAGAAGGACTATAGCTGAACAAGAGAAAGAAGAAGAAGAACAAAGGTGGGACTGGACTGGAAGTGAAAGTACAAGCTTCTAGAACTGAGAAAATCTCTAAGACTCATCTCTTAGTCTGGGAAAAGACAGATGGTATGGCTATACTGTGTCCTCTAGAATTTCCTGATTTACATACAGATACCTCACACTGAGCCTGTTTTTGACACTCTACACAGGTGATTAAGCTGATTAAGAAGATTGCTACTCTTGGCTTTCTAGAGGACAGAAAGTTTTAGAGAAAAAGATGAGCGTTTTGACACTGAGATCACATCCTACAAGTAGCCAAGTATGAACCCTAGGTACGGGGCAGTGATAAAATCAAGGAGCTTCCTGTTTGATGTGACCCAAGAAGCTGTGTGGCATGATATAAGGTGCACCAAACTCATAGTCAGAAGACCAGAATTTACTCTGCTACTTCATAGATGATCACAGATTTACAATTGAAAGAAACCATACCAGTGGTTGTCTGACATCCATATTTTGCAGATGAGGATCAGAGAATTTAAGTGACTTGTTTGGCATCACACAGCTACTGTTCGAGGAAGGATTACAGGTCTTTGGACTACAAGTCTAGTATTCTATCCCCCATACCAGGAGTTCTTAACAATTTTCGTCATGGACTCTTCTGACAATCTAGTGAAACATATGAACCCATATTCTGAATAATGTTTTTAAAGGCATAAAATAAAATACATATAATTACAAAAGAAATTAATTAGAATGAAATACAATTTCCAAAGGTTTTTTTAAAACTAAGTTCATGTGTTCCCTATACTTTACCATGCTGTTTTTAGGTACTAGCTACTAGCTGAGTGTTCGTTGATTCCTCATCTATAAGATGGGGGAAATCATTTCTGTCCAAACCCTTTAATAGAACTGATGTAAGAAGGAAATGAAAAATAATGAGTGCTAAATTGCTTTAACTATTAAATGCTGAACAACTCTGAATGATTATTATTAATAAATTTACTAATAGCTAAATGTCTGTCTGTAACACTAAAATTTTCAAAGTCCTTTCTTTCAACCATCCACTGTGGTTACAGAAGTCAAATAATGCTATCCTCTTCTCACAATGGAGAAAATTTGGGTTTGGAGATATTAACTTATGTGTCCAGGATCAAGTAGATATAGTTTCAGTCTGGGATGGAATTTAAAACTAGTTCTGTCTCAGTCCAAATCCTCTTCTCTATCCACTCTGCCCACACTGCCTCTCAGGTTGATCATGGACTCAAATATTAGAGAGCTAAAGAAACTTAGGCATCAGAACGTGAAACTTTTCCTCTCTAAGTCCAATTTTGGTGACTCTCCCCTAAGTCTATTGACTGAGATTTGCCTCTTGGTAGCTCTTTCCTATGGTTTTGCTACAGCCTATAGTTATTCCCCACAAATACCTTGAAAATGGCTTTCTCCTAGCCCTCTCCATGCCCAGTATTATTGACTCACCAGAAACCCACAGACCCAGCTCCAAATTCTCTTCTCTCTTCTCCAAGAGACTGTCAGAAACTCTTGGAAGTGCAGCAATTTCACTGTAGTCATTACATAACATCCGGGGCATTGCTTACCCCCAGGAGGATACCATTGGGGCACTGGGATCTTGGCCTTAAACTGGCATTAACCCCATCATTGCCAAACAGATCTTATTAGAAGCCTTAGAGGAGCTCTCAAGACTATTAGGAAACAGGACTTTAACTTTGTGAAGCTTTCCATTTCACAAGTTTAATTAGGTCAGATTCAGGGTTACCCTGTTATGCCTTGTCACAAGGCTTTCTTACCCTGCCTTTCTCTACGCTGCTAAACCTAAGCTTAGGCTGTAGTAAGGAGATTCATACAAATATGTTTTAGACTCCTCCAATGTACCAGACCTTTTGTTGGATGCTGAAGGAGATACAAAGATCAATAGCATGAAGTCCCTGCCCCAGATAGGCTTACACTCTCATGTGGGGGATTAGAGAGGAACAAAAAAAGTAATGAAAAATGAACTTCTAAAGTTCCAATCATTTAGTTATGAGAATATGAGGCCATTTCATGAAGGAGTTGGAATTTGAACTGAGTTTTGATTATAACTTAAACAGGTTGAATAACAAAGACATTATAGGTGAATTATTTCAGTAAGAGCAATTAGGGATGTTTATCTTGGAGAAGAAATGATGAAGGGAGGGGGGCCAATCATAATAGACATCTGTGAGTATTGGAGATCTTGGCATGTAGAAAATAGATAAGACTTGTTACGTTTGGTCCCCAAGGGCAGAGACTGGAGAAAATGAGCAGAAATGAAACAGACAAATTTAGGTCTGTTGTCAGGAAATTTTCTTAAATAACTAAATAAGCCAACAAATAAATAAATAAACAGGTAAATAGATAAACAAATGAACAGATAAACAAATAATTGAACAGGTGAATAGATAAATAAACAAATGAATGGATGGATAGATGGATGGATGGATGGATGGATGGATGGATGGATGAATGCAGCATCTTCCTAATAATTAAAAATATCCAAAAGTGAAGTGGGCTGCCTTGGGATATTATAGATTCCCTCTCCTTGGAAGCTGAATCACCTCTCATGACATATATTATTCTGGTGACTTCTTTGAGGGTATGGCCACTGAAGTCCCAGTCAACTGAAATTCTGTTATCCTTTTTTTTGTTTTGTTTTGTCTAGGCAATGGGGTTAAGTGATTTGCCCAGGGTCACACAGCTAGTAAGTGTTATATGTCTGAGGCCAGATTTGAACTCAGGTCCTCTGGAATCTAGGGCTGGTGTTCTATCCACTGCGCCACCTAGCTGCCCCTCTGTTATCCTTTTGATGCCATAAGCAAATATACAGGAGTGGGACAAGGGACAGGGTTAGGAAATGGAGCGTGGTCTAATTTCTCAAAAGCAGAAAGAACATAATGGAGAAGTGTACAAAAAAAAAGGATGTAAAGTTAGGCTGGAATCACACTGTAGAGGGCTCTGAATTCCAGGCTCAGATGTTTGGCTTCATTCTGTAGGAAATCTTATGCCTCTTTGAAGAAGCAGACTAGAGTTTCAGGAGTGAAGAAATTATTGAAGTTCTTTGGGCCCCAAAGGCTCACTTCAGCTTGAAGTATCTCCTTGCAGATAGTCAAGCCTGGATTACTCTACTGAGACACTGAGCCTAGGTTTAGGTTCTCTCAGATAGTTGAAAATGAATTAGTTTCCTTGGTGTTGATATTGACTTCCAATCAAGGTTTGTTTACATGCTGGTCTGGTGGTGTCCCAGAGTGTGGTCTGACCAGATTAAAGCCACAAGAAAGCTTGAATAATAATAATGTTTAATAATACCTAGCATCAATATAGTGCTTTGAGGTTTATAATGCACTTTATGTATATTAGCTCATTTGAACCTCTCAGCAACCCTTTGAGATATTATTATTATCTCCACTTTACAGACAAGGAAACTGCCCCTGAGAGATATTAAGTGATTTGCCCAGGGCTGCACAGCCGAGTAAGTGTCTAAGGCAGAATTTGAAGTCAGGTCTTTCTGTCATCAGATCCACACACCATTGTACCACCAGAAGTGCTGCCCCACCCCTTGGTACCCTCAAGTAAATTCTATAAATTCTACAGTGCAAATTCTAATTTATTATATAATTGCTTGTAGACCAAACCTACACACAATAATAGACCTACAATCAGATCTTTTTAATGACTTTTATGTTTATTCTGCCTTTGTTTCTTATAATTACTTTGAGATGTTGTCTTGCCCATCAAAGAGAACTTAACACGGATGTGGGGATTCTGGCTTACACCCAGAAAATTTTGCAGGCTCTGATGAGTACAGAGGTCACAGAATTTCAGAAATGGAAGGCTCATCATAGGCCATGTAGTCCAATTCGTGTCTGAACAGTAATCTATACAAAATACCAATGAGTGATTATAAAGTGTCTGAATGAAAAACCACACTAAAGGTTCGTCCACTAGGTGATCTATTTTGAACAGCTTGATTATTAGGAAGCTTTGTTTGTTTGTTTTTGTTTTTCCTGCTTACATGAAGCTGAATTGTGTCATTCTTCTGCTTTTTTAATCCTAGTTCTATCCTTCTATAATTAGTAGAACAATTATAATTGCTTCATCACATTTTAACTTACCAAATACTCAGAGACAGGTACTACGTCTTCCCTAAGTTTTCTGTTTTCAAAGCTAAAACTCCCAAGGTCTTTCAACTGATCCTTGTATGGAATGAGCTCAAGCTCTTTAACCATCATAGACACCATCCTTTGGTTATATTCCATCTTTTTGCTGTCCTCCCTAAAATGTGGTCCCCAGAATTGTTAAGAATCTCCACCCCTCCACCCTTACTCTAGAGGTCTTCTTTGTGAGCCCCGTGAGGTCAGGCACTGTTGTTTGCTTCTTTTTGCATCCCCAGCAGTGCTTAGCACGTTTGCTGCTTAGTCATTTCAGTTGAGTCCTACCCTTCATGACCGCATTTGGGGTTTTCTTGGCAAAGCTACTGGTGTGGTTTGCTATTTCCTTCTCCAACTCATTTTACAGATGTAGGAACTGAGACAAACAGGGTTAAATTACTTTCCTAGGATCACACAGCTAGTAAGTATCTGAGGCCAGATTTGAACTTAGTCTTCCCTGTTTCCAGATCTAGTGCTCTCTCCACTGTGCAACCTAGCCTAGCACACAGTAGGTGCTTAATAGATGGTAATTGAGCAGAGGATAATGGGTGGGGTCTGTCACCTCTGTGATTTGGGACACTATGACTTTATCCTGCACCTGAAAAATTAGCAAAAAGGATAGACAATGGAAACAGTAGATGTTGGGAGGACTATAGAATCATAGATTCAGAGTTAGAATATACCTCAGAGGTCATCTGGATACCTACATCATTCAATAGATACAGAAACAAACTCAGAAAGTGTAAGCTACTTGTTGAATAATTCCACTGATAATGAAAGTGGCAGAATTTGAACCCATTTCTTCTTTACTTTGAGTCCCATGCTTTGACCACTACATCACATTGCAGAAAGACAGGTATACAGTAATATGTAATAGGGTAGTACATTTCCCTTACCATTCTGAAAATGATTTAAAATTATGCTTTAAAAAGGGGGGGATTAAAATATGCACATGTTTTGACTGAGAAACCCCACTGATAATCATATATTCCCAGAACAGAAAGAGAGTAAGGTCACACATACACCAAAATATTCATAACCACACTTTTTTGGGGGAAATAAAGTAGATATTCACTGATTGAGGAATGGCTAAATAACTGATGAATATGATGGTAATGAAATATTAGGGTACCATAAGATACAATGAATTTGAAAAATAAAGAGAGGAGTGGGAAGACTTGTGTGATATTAACAGCAGCAAACAAGACCGGGACAAATACACACATATGTGTGAATCAATACATATGCATATAATATAGGGGCAGCTAGGTGGATAGAGTCAGGACTCTGTCTGATTCCTGGAGTCAGAAGGACCTGACTTCAAATCTGACCTCATACACTTATTAGCTGTGTGACCATGAGCAAATCACTTAATTGCCTCTAGAATTACTTATTGCCTCTAAAATAAATGCATACATACATATACAATACACATATATTTATGTATGTAGATATATGAGTACACACATATGTATATACATAGAATACATACATGTATATATGTATGCATATATACAAAAAACCACGATTTTGACAGCAATGCAGACAGAATGATAACAACAAAACTGAATATTGTATAATTATAGACATCAAGTTTGGTTACAGAGTATAAATGACGAAATGTAACTCCTTCCCTTCTTTGAAGGGGTAGAGAATCATGGTTGTGCAACATGACATATTCTATCAGACTTAGTTGGTGAATTGGTTAGTTTGATGAACTCTTGATAACGTTTTGTTCTGTTTTCCAGAATGAAGTTGCTAGGCATAAGATTAATTGATTCATTGTCATGTGAGCATAAAAGTACTTTCATTGAAATCCCCCTTGTTGGGGGCTGGGAAGAGGTAAAGGTGAGTGGGGGCTGGCAGGGGACACCTGAATGGAGAGGTGACACCCCAGGAGTTGGGACCCGCCTCTTCTGGGATAGCTTGCGGGCTCAACAGTGAGCTACGTGGCAATCCCGGATGAGGTGCTGGGGAGGCTCCGCTAATGGGTTGTTGGCACCGCCTTCGGGGTGGATCCTTGTAGCCTTCATGACCCGCCCTCAGATTATATAATGGGCTGAGAACAAAGGATCAGGGGGATCCTCCACAATAAAGAGCATACACCACACTCATGTACTGTCTGGTCCTTGAGCCCACCCTTCCCCCAGGGTGGGTCCGGAGACGTCCGAAGCCCAGCTCCCAGGGGAGGAGGCGTACCTGAAGGGCCCAGCCCGGGTCAAGTGGCGCCCGAACAGGGACTTGAGATAGAAGTTCCTCTTCGGGGACCCCGCCAGGTACGGGTAAGTACCCTCTCTCCAGTGAAAGAGAGGAAGGGACCGACAGCCTATGCAGATCGGGGCTGCATAGAGGGTAAGATGGGAGCACGATATAGTAAAGGAATTACACCGGAGGATAAGCGAGTGCTAGTCCTACAAGTTTATAAACTTTGTAGGGACAATGGGGTGAAAATACAGCTGAGACGCTGTCAGGAGTGGGTAGAGAAACTTATAGTGGTGTCCCCGTGGTTACAGAACCAAGGGATTGATTATCAAAGATGGAAAATAGTTGGGAGCCAGATGTCTTCCTACGCAGAGACAGAACCAGGGTTCTTAAAACCAGAGGATTTTACTCTTTATGGCATTGTGACTTTTGCCCTCTCTCCGCGCCCTCCGCCGGTAATAGTAGCGGAGGAGACACAGGTAGGAACATCCTTATTAGGAGGGGAACAAGACCTCGAGGGTCAGGAAGAGCCATGGCCTGAGCCCCCTAAGCCCTCTGAAATCCCGTCCGCACCATGGCCGAGTCTGGAGCCGCTCCCTCCGGAGCCACTCCCCCCGGAGCCACTCCCGATGTGCCAGTGGCAGCAGAAAAAGGAAGTTCCGCCTGTGGCGCAGTTAGAATTCCAGAAAGAGGAAGTTCCACCTGTGGCGCAGTTAGAAATGCAGATACAGCAACTACAGACCCAAATAAACCAAATGCAGCTTGATAAAAGAGGGAAGAATGAACAGACCCCGCAGACTTCACTTTTACAGCATTCATTGCGAGAGGCCGCTAGGGATGGGCAGGTAGTAGACTGGAAAGAGTGGGGACAGGAATTCCCGATTTTTGTCCAAGGAGGAGCCGGAGGAGGTGGTCGGGCTCACCGACCAATGCCCTATAAGTTCATGAAAGATTTAAAAGAGGCAGTTAAATTATATGGAGCAGGCTCTTCTTATGTCAAGCAGCTGTTGCAATCTACTGTGGCTGTGGCCGCTTGGACCCCAGGGGATTGGGATGAAATTATGTCTGCTGTGTTGGAGAGTGCTGCTTACACCGCCTGGTCGGCGTATAGACGCCGAGAGTCTAGGACCTGGGCGGAGGCTAATTTCCCTCAGAATGTAGAAGATACCATTAATATGCTAACTGGGTATGGCCAGCATGCTGGACTGCAGGCACAGCTTTTACTCCCAGACCTTGTTATACAAGGTGCCCAGATAGTGGCGCTAAAAGCATTGGATAGACTAGGGGAGAAATCACAACCTCCTTTAAACAAACTTGTACAAAGACCAAAGGAAAGTGCCATGGAATTTGCGTCCCGAGCACAAGAGGTTGTGGAAAAGAGATATGGAGCAGGAGATGTTGCCCAAAAGCTACTGATACAGCTTTTCAAGGAAGGGCTTAAACAGTCACGAGGGTTGTTGTCAAAGTTACCACCAGACCCTACATGGGAAGAATGCATTGATGTGTGCTTAGAAGAAGGTCCCTTGCCGGACGCAGGCATGATTCAGGTACTGACGGAAGCTTTTGCAGCAGTGCAGGCGACTACCCAGAGGAAGAAAAAACAAACTTGTTTCCGTTGTGGAAAAGTAGGTCATTTTCGGAGCCAATGCCTCCAGGGCGGTCCCCAGGTCCGCTGTTTTAAATGCGGCAAAACAGGACATGTGCAGAAATTCTGTCGGTTGAGATGGACCGAGCCACGTAGACGGGAAATAGAAAGAGAAAGTGTCGATATGCAGGGAAATGGGCAGCGGGTGCCCTAGCCCGAGAAGGGACACCCGCAGCTACAACCTCGGGCAGTAATATACTTTACCCTGTTCAAACACTAACATTGGGACCATGGACAACAAGTACAGTGGAAATAGGGACGTCTACTGAGCCCAGATTAATTATTGGGACGTCACGAATGAAAGATGTCATAGTACATACCCAAGTGCAGAAGGCTGGCCAGAAACACATTTTTCTTACCAATCCTCATGCAACATCAATACGCATTGAGCCAGGTCAGCCGATCGCAGCTTCTCTTCCCTTAGCCCCGCAGAAACAGCAAAATTGGGTGGCGTGGACACAAAGTATAGGACAGGATAGACCCCAGTTGGAGGTGCGGGTGGAGGGACGACTAATCACAGGCCTCTTGGACACGGGGGCAGATATTTCTGTTATTCCTGAGAGTGAATGGAATGAAACCTGGGAGCTAGGACCTAAGGGCTCTGTGACAGGGGTCGGCGGAGGTGCCGTAGGAATGCGCTCTGTTAGATTGCTCCGCTGGGTCAGTGAAGACCAGGAGGGGTTTTTTCGCCCCATGTGCCTTTCGGGTGTGCCCATGGCCTTGTGGGGAAGAGATATACTCGAACAGATGGGGGCTGTCTTAACCACCAATCCCAGTACCCCCGGAAGGCCCTATCTTTCGCCTGTATTTTCTCCTAGCCCTTGCTCGGAGTCACTTCCCTCCTCTCTTTAAACAAAAAGGGGGAGGGTCTTCGGAGTCTTCGGCTATATCTATACCTGCCCCTGCCTTACCCTTCCCGCTGGCTACCCTTACGCCCGCTGGCTTGCTACGACTCGGTACGGCTCATGTATCTCATTTTCTTTCGCTTCTTCTTTCGCCTCTGTGTTGGGGAATCGGGTGTCTTCTTTTTATGTTTTCCAGATCTCGCCCTTGATGGACGGACGAGGGCTCGGCAGAATGGACCTGCGGAGGACGGGGCGGGTAAAGAGTCGAAGGCGGATACGGAAGCGTAAGAGGGGACAACGAAGAAGATGCAGACGACGAGCCCACTATCAGCATCTGGGGAACGGAACACCCTTTGCTGCCTGCCTTGCGTCCTTTGCCCTTCTGAGTCTTGGTGGTGGGTGGGGCTTGCCTGTTGGTGTCGAAGGGCATTTCAACATGACATGGGCCCCGCTGGGACAAGTGATACCCACCTACTGGGCTTTGACACCGCATCTGCCCGTTTTTCAACTTATGACGTGGGATCACGAGGCGAGCCCACTTTTCCTTTCTGGCAACGCATCTTGGTTAACAGGTGACTCAGGACTGGCGGTTCCTATTGTCTCCAAAACTGGTATGAACGTTACTTGGACTTCTGCGGCGTTGCCTTTGTGCTTATCCCCTTCCAATATCTCGAATAGCAGCATTTCTCAGCTGTGTTATCCTCTCTCGAATTGGTCTATTTCCCAACCTTCCTTTCTAGAATCAGAGTTATTGAATGCTACTTATGGTTCCTTAAACATAACTCTCGCCTCTTTGATTCGCAATTTCAGTAATAACCATACTGTTACTACTTCGCTACCCCCTTGTCCACTTACCGCCCCTCATATATTCGAACCCCTTCATGCTTGTAGTACAGGAAACTTTAGTAGGTTGAACAATACTAACGAATCTATATGGTTTGCCGATAATTATCCACGAACTTCTATACTTCCTGCACCCATCCCCTTTAAAGAAAAGGCACCCTTGCAAAGCCATTGGTGGAAGGCAGGTCTTGCTCTTCATCCTACCTTTGTTCGCTACACTCAGACCGCTGCCAAAGTACAGCACGGTTTCCTTTTGCAACATGGCATAAGATTTTTGGGAACAAAAATAGTACTTGTCATAAGACGGATGCTACCACAGCTACTGACATTCTTTGTTATACTTTTACAGCCGAGGCACAAACGACACCTGATGCTCTCTTCCTTTTGTGCCCTCCAGGGAACTTCACCATTTCACTTGTGCCCCAGGCAAATAATAAAACCAGTTACACTATTCGCTGTACTAACGCTACCTTGACTAACACTCTCAACGCCTCCCATACCTCTTTTATCATCCTGCATTTACGTGTACCACCTTTTACTCTCCACCCCGTAAGAGCCGACCCTTTCGCTTTGTCCCTATCAGACTCTTTATTGCGCAAGGTGATTAAACGGGATATTGATCCCACTGACATCGTGGCAGTAGCTGCGCTGGCCCTTTCAATTATAGAGGAGACACAAATAATGCAATTACAGAAACAAGTCACTTTCTTAGCAGAGTCCTTGCAGCATTTCATGCATTTAGAAAGTCAAGCCTGGAAACATCAAGAGACACTCGACCGTCTCTTAGAACGACAAATCACTACCCTTTCTGCTACTGTGCAAGTATTGTTACATCAACAAGCTTTTATGCTGCGTTACATGCGCTTGTCATGTCATTATAAATATCGCCCTGTCTGTGTAACCCCTATCCCTTATAATTCAACCATGTATAATGATCTGGAGAACATTCTACGCAACGCCACCACAGGTGTTGCCTTTACTACCGAACTTCACCAGTTGGATCTGATCATCATGGCCATAGAGAATGCTACCCTACGCTTTTCCCAAGATTGGGAGGACTCAATCTCCAAAACGGTTAAATGGTGGGACGATTTTCAATACCAAAATGTCCTCCAATGGATCCTCCATGGTGCTTTTGTACTTGTAGGAGGTTTTTTGTTATGTGTTTTCCTTCCATGCCTTATTTCTTGTTTTCTTTCTCTTCTCAAACGGTCCCTCGCAGCCCTTAAGGCAGAATTCCGTAATGCTAACAGCACCCATCCTCTTTAAACGAAAAGGGGGAGATTGTTGGGGGCTGGGAAGAGGTAAAGGTGGTTGGGGGCTGGCAGGGGACACCTGAATGGAGAGGTGACACCCCAGGAGTTGGGACCCGCCTCTTCTGGGATAGCTTGCGGGCTCAACAGTGAGCTACGTGGCAATCCCGGATGAGGTGCTGGGGAGGCTCCGCTAATGGGTTGTTGGCACCGCCTTCGGGGTGGATCCTTGTAGCCTTCATGACCCGCCCTCAGATTATATAATGGGCTGAGAACAAAGGATCAAGGGGGATCCTCCACAATAAAGAGCATACACCACACTCGCGTACTGTCTGGTCCTTGAGCCCACCCTTCCCCCAGGGTGGGTCCGGAGACGTCCGAAGCCCAGCTCCCAGGGGAGGAGGCGTACCTGAAGGGCCCAGCCCGGGTCACCCCCTCTTCAAGTGGCACTGTATTTCTAGATATTCAGTAAATACTTGCTGAGTTGAATTTTTATATTCTCACTTTTATGGGCTTGAAACATTTATATAGCACTGCGGCCACTTTCACATACAGATTCTTTGCCCAAAAGCTACTATTTCAGTACTGATTTGTGGGTCAGCTTTTAGTAAAAAGGATAGAATATCAGAGCCATTTCATTGTGTTTACTCTAACCAAGCTAACTAGTCCCCACATTAGTCCAAAAGACATTTCACAGACTCAATCAAAGGATGAATAAATCAGCTGCTGCTGACTAATCACTTACTTAAGTCAAAAGTTCTTTGTAACACTTATCACATCCCTCAGTTACTAGCCTAAGTTCCCTTCAAAGCATCCCAATGACTCCGTGGAGGTAAAGGAATTAGGTAGGGCTGCAGTGCAGTGATTCTTTTCAATTCCCTAAAATGCATCTGGTTGTCAAGTATATGAATGTAGGATCAAGATGGAAAAGGATCAGATAAAGCTGTTGTAGCTAGTGATTGACCAAAGTCATTCTACTCTCTATACTTACCAGATAATATTTTTATACATGCTATGTTAACATCACCCTGAATTCTTCAGTTGCCACTCATTAGCTCTGTGACCTTGGGCAAATCACTTAGCTTCTAGGCCTCATTTGTAGAATCAGGATGTTGATATCATTGTTTCCCTGCCTATGACAAAGAGACAGTTGTGAACATCCAATGATAATAATAGCTGATATTTGCATATAACTTTAAGACTTCTAAAGTATGTTAAATAAACATATTTTCTCTTAAGCCTTTCAATAATCCTGAGATAGATATCACTATCCTACACTTTGCACAGTGCCTTGCTATATAAATACTTGTTCCTTTTTTTCCCCTTTCCCCTTATTTTACAAATGAAAACCTTAAGGCTCAAGAAGTGACTTACACAGTGTCACTTTGTGGTTGTCATTTTTCAGTCATGTCTGTCTCTTCATGATTCCATTTGGGGTTTTCTTGGCAAAGATACTGATGGTTTGCCATTTCCTTCTCCAGCTCATTTTACAGATGAGGAAACTGAGGCAAACAAAGTAAAGTGATTTGCCCAGGGTCACATAGCTAGTAACTGTCTTAGGCTGGATTTGAACTCAGGTCTTCCTGACTCCAAGCCCAGTTTTTTATCCACCACACCACCTAGCTGCCCATCCAGTGTCACACAGCTAGTAAATGTTGGGGGTGAAAATTTGAATTCAGGTGTTCCTGATTCTAGATTTAGGAATCTATTATGTCATAAACAACCTTATTATATGACATGTAGCAGGAGAAAGCATTTTGTAAAACAGAACACCCTATGCGATGTAAGCTATATTATATAGTGTTATTTTTGTGATTCTGTGGCACTACATTCCTCTTAGTATAACCTTGGCAACATCTTTGACTCTCTTCCCCCTGTCAAAAGGGTAGAATGGGGCTGTAGGGAGAGGAACTAGAGGCCGTTCCTTTGAATTTCCCAACTCCACACCTTTTTGGTATTCACCAAGTTGCTATCCCCTAGTCTTGTCTGAATTCACCTTCATCATGGACCAAATACTTCATTCTCCAATCTTGCTCCTTAAATAGGAACTCTTATTAAAGTATATTTGCAGATCATGAGTAATTCTTTACTTTGCTTTGACAATCATCACTTTGCTTTGACAATCATCACTTTGATTTTTAAGTATGTATTCAACCAATACCAGTGAGGCTATGTTTGGAACATTAAACAGGAACCTGACTCTCCATGAAGCC